ACCCAGCTCCTCGCTGGGTATGAAATCATCACAGCTCCGCAGAACCGGGGGCGGTCAGCTGGGCCTCCAGGGCAGTGGTCGGCAAACTCATCAGTCCAAGGAGCCAAATATCAACAGGACCACGACTGAAATTTCTTTGGAGAGCCACATTTTTTAAACTTAAACTTCTTCTAACGCCACTTCTTCAAAATAGACTCACCCAGGCTGTGGTGTTTTGTGGAAGAGCCACACTCAAGGGGCCACAGAGCTGCATGTGGCTCACAAGCCGCAGTTTGCCGACCAGGGCCCTAGGGGATAGGATGGGGACAGGGTTTGGAAGAGAAAACCTCATTAGCCTCACTCCTCCCCCGCTCCCCCTGCCTCTAATCCCACACTTGTACCCCCAGACATGGCTCTGCAGACCATCCCTGAGATCCCACTGGTCCCCTTTGCTCTGAGCACCATCTCAGGGACCGGGCTCCCGCACTGTCTGCTGGGCACTGCCCTTCCCGGGAGCTCTTGCCCGAGGGGCACTTGGACTGGACACAGTTTCTCCCCTCCCTCCAGTGAGAATTCTCTTCTGCAGCAAATACATGTGAACTCACTCTTCCCTTTTCTGTCCACTCCGTCTCCACATGCTCTCCGACGTGGCTTATACAACAGGCCCAGCGTTTTGTGCGTGAGCCCCCCCCGTGATTCGGATCTTTCTGTGTCTGTCTGTCTCGAATCCTCTCCCCCTCGTCCCCCCCGCCCCCCCATTAGGCACATGGAAGGCCCATGCCACCTGTTAGCATATTACATCACTGCCTCCCGGACTGCAGTTGCAGCAAAGGCCTCAGACAAAGTCCTTCTTCTTGTATTGTTTGCGCTCAAAGAGTTGATATCATGCCAGCTGATGTCATTGTGTGTCTTTGTGTGACTGCTATGGCAACTGGGCAGGTGGGGAGCCCCCAGCTGATGTCATCGGGAAAGGAGGTGCAGAGACAGAATTTTAAAGAGCTTCGGGCCGCTTTCTTCTGCATGGGGGGTTTTCTGGTGTGCGTTTTTTTTTTTATTTTTTAAAACCGGCCGCTTTTGAGACAAATTACAGCTTGAGTACCCTACGTAAGACAGAGTTCTTGTTTTCTCCCTTTAGCCCCTTAGAAACTTCTTTTGAATTCATCTTAGTTGTTCTTTCCTCTCATTGTTTGTGGAAAAGTGTAGCAACTGCCTTTTTCTTTGGGGGGAAAAAATAAGTGAATGAGGTTCCCGTCCCGGGATCAGGGTGGAACTGTCTGCCTGGACTTTGTAGGGGTCACAGCTGAGCAGGTTTTAATAACCTTTCTGTCTTTTGTGGGCAGTGGGTCATTTCACGTCTTTAAATGTTTTCACTAGTGAAGCTTTTCAGGCTTTCCATTTCTTCCGTCTACTTTAAAATTGATTTGAGCCCAGATAAACTTTTCCCCCCATGATTTCCTAGCCCAGTGGTCGGCAAACTCATCAGTCCACAGAGCCAAATATCAACAGTAAAACGACTTAAATTTCTTTTGAGAGCCACATTTTTTAAGCTTAAACTCCCTCGAATGCCACTTCTTCAACATATAGACTCGCCCAGGCTGTGGTATTTTATGGAAGAGCCACACTTAAGGGGCCGAAGAGCCGCATGTGGCTTGAGAGCCGCGGTTTGCCGACCACTGTCCTAGCAGAATACACTAATGATATGTAAGGGCAGCATTTAATTCTAACAATTAAAATGAAGCTCTTGCTTTTCTTTGCAAAAAAAAAAAAAGCTAGGATTACTTTACTCCTCTGTAAGGCTCAAACCTAACAGTACTCCTTGGCATGTGCTTGGGGCCATGGCCAGACCTGAACATATGACCTCCCTGGTGTGCATGGCCAAGTCCACGTGTGCTGGCTGCTGTCAGCAGCCCCGACACTGGATATCTATCTAGTTTACAGTCTGGAGCTTCCTGCTGCGGTTGCTAAAGATGAGACCTGAAGGGCACAGGCGAGGCTCAGGGACCTGGGGACAGACTTCCTGTCCTTGTGTCACAATAGCCACATCCTGTTCGCGTACCCGCTTCCCGAGACCACAGAGGCTGCTGTCAAGCCCCCACCGAGGAGGGGAAAGGCTGTGTTTTGTTGCTTTCGGCTATGGCACACCTCCAACTGCTTCCTGTTTGATGTGAATCGGAGCTGATTTGTTGCCTAGCTCTCACCTGTATAACCTTTCCGGCTTATCCATGTGTGTGATGCAACTAACAAATATGAAAGGAAACTTTAAGCAACTATGATCCAGGAAACTTTTAAGCAACTATGATCCATAAATTTCTTAACTTAAGTGCTCTTTATTTATTTATTTTTTTTTTTGCATAATCTTTCAACTTTTGATCACCATGTGCGGTGGATGTTTTTGAACTGCCTTTTTTTCATTTAATATCAAACATTCTCTTTGTTTTCCTACTTTTTCATAGCCTTTCACTGGGTGAATATATTAACTCTCCTCTTAAAATTTTCTTAAACTTGGCCTTTTTCTGTAAAATAGAAAAAGGCAGTAATGAACATCTTACACATCCAGCTGATTTCCTTCAGATCTACTCTTACGGGGAATGCTCCTTCGGTGGAGGGCCAGGCCTGCATTCTAAAAATGGAAAAACTGGTTCCGTTTTCAGCTTTTTACATGAGACTCATAGCATTTAGGAGGCAGAACAGAGCCTGAAGCTAGCTCAGTGGTCGGCAAACTCATTAGCCAACAGAGCCAAACATCAACAATACAACAATTGAAATTTCTTTGGAGAAATTTCAGATTAAAAAATTGGAGCCCAATTTTTTAAACTTAAACTTCTTCTAACGCCACTTCTTCAAAATAGACTCCCTCAGGCCGTGGTGTTCTGTGGAAGAGCCACACTCAAGGGGCCAGAGAGCCGCATGTGGCTTGTGAGCCGCAGTTTGCCAACCACGGAGCTAGCTCAAAGGTGGGCCTCAAGCATGTCAAATTCAAAGGCTAACACAGGCCAAATAAACAAGGTTTGGTTTAAGTGGGCTGCAAGAAAAAAAACTTCAATTTTCATTAAAATGTAGGTTTATTTCTAGAGAGACATGCTGAATACAGCGGGCTGAAATAAATGAAATAGAACATTTCAATAGAAACTAATATTTTTTCTTGAACATTAACTTACCAGATACTAAATAATTGCACAAATTAGTAAGTAACGTAAATAAACCTATTTTTCCTCTTCTGCCAAAGCTAAATATTTCCCGTTGTACTCACCAAACAAGCTAGTCCAAGATGAATGCCGTGGCCATCGGCTGCTACAATATTAGCTGCTGGTATTAGTGGAGAGAGATGGTGTGCCTGCGGGTAAGGCGCTAAGGGAAATGAATGCTACCCAATTGTAGTAACTAGTCATTAGCAAACATTGTAGTTTGTTATTAATAGTTAAAAATAAGGATATTTTAAGAATTAAGTTTCTTACATACCATGATATTGGCTGGGCAACAAAAATATTGGTTGTGGGCCGTGAGTTTGACATGCTTGTTAGAGGTTTCCTGACAGAGAAGTGGGTGCAAGGATCTGGGCTGCTCCTCCTGGAAATCGGGATGGAAATCCATGGAAAATACCAGGAAAGGGATAAGGAAAACTCCCCTCACACCTCCCTGTATGTGTGTCTTTTCCAAGCCTTTCTCTGCTGCTTGGGCGATCATAGAAATAACTCTAGTAAACGTAGCAAACCCCTGCCGAGTGAGACCGTGTGCCAGACAGCATGCTAAGTACTTGACATGTATCCATGCATTCCAGGCTCCGAGTCACACCAAGGGTAAAGTGACCAGACACATCCTGCTTTTGGCAGGACAGTCCTGATTTTTAACAATTTGTCCCGCGACGTTTTTTAAAAAAAAAAAAAAAAAAGTCCTGATTTTTGGAAAGAATTACAAATTGTTAAAAATCGGGACTGTCCCGCCAGAAGCGGGATGTCTGGTCACCTTAACCAAGGGGTAGAGGCCATGACCCTCACTGTGCAGGCAGGGGAACTGAGGCTCAGAGAAATGAGCTTCAGCAAGAGACAGGACCAGGAAGGTGTGGGGCTGGGATGAGAGCCAAGGTAAACGGGTTCTTCCCAGGTCCCCACTGGTGACCACAGCGCTGGGGAGGGAGGCGGCCATGGTGGGTGAGGTGAGCTTACACAGGGTGCCAGTCACACGCCTGCGGTGCCAGGGTGCTGGCAGAGGCTCCTCGCCCCAGGTCCTCGCGCTGTGCCTTCCTCAGCTCCCAAAGTGCAGGGTTCTATGTAGGCCACGGAGGCAGATGCAATTAGCCGCCGCGGGCACTGCCCGGTGCTGCGGGGCCTTTGCCAGGGAGCATGCCCCAGTTTGTATGAGAAGCACATTTCCCGTGCATGGTGCTGGCCCCCACAGCTGGTCCTAGGCCTCCAAATAGACTTTTTTAAAAAATTATTTTTCCAATATATTTTTTTGTTGTTGATTTCAGAGAGGAAAGCAGAGGGAGAGAGAGAAACATCAATGATGAGAAGGAATCATTGATTGGCTGCCTCTTGCATGCCCCCTACTGGGGATGGAGCCCGCAACCAAGGTACATGCCCTTGATTGGAATCGAACCCTTCAGTCTGCAGGCTGATACTCTATCCACTGAGCCAAACCAGCTAGGGCTTAAATTTTATTTTATAATTATATATATATATATATATGTCTGCAAAAAACATGCCCCTGCTGGACGGTGTGGCTCACTGGATGAGTATCGACCCATGAACCAGGAGGTCACCAGTTTGATTCCCCGTCAGGGCACATGCCCAGGTTATGGGCTTGTTCCCCATTAGTGGAGGGCGTGCAGGAGGCAGCCTATCAATGTCGATCTTTCCCTCTCATCGATGTTTCTAGGTCTCCCTTCCCTTCCCTTCCGCTCTCTATAAAATTAATAAAAACGTATTAGAAAAACAAAGCACGCACAGGTTCCTCCCGGGAAGGTGACTGCTGCCCGACTGCAGGCCTGGGGGCTCACCCTTCTCGCGATGCTTGCCTTCCAGGTGGCCTCAGCAGCTTTAAGCAGAACCATGAAAACCTCTGTGACAACTCCCTCCAGCTCCAAGAGTGCCGGGAGGCGGGGGGCGGCGCGTCCGCGGCCTCGGTGCTACCTCAGTGCATCCCCACCACGCCCGACATCGAGAACGCCGAGCTGACGCCCATCCTGCCCTTCCTCTTCCTCGGCAACGAGCAGGACGCCCAGGACCTGGACGCCATGCAGCGGCTCAACATCGGCTACATCATCAACGTCACCACGCACCTGCCCCTCTACCACTACGAGAAAGGCCTTTTCAACTACAAGCGGCTGCCGGCCACCGACAGCAACAAGCAGAACCTGCGGCAGTACTTTGAAGAGGCCTTCGAGTTCATTGGTAAGTGCCTCTTCCCGCCTTCGTTTCCCCTCCTCTGGCGTTTGCTGTGATGTCAAGTTCAAGATGAATGCCGGGGGGGGGGGGGAGGGGGTGTTCGAGGAGAGCTGCTCGGGGGCTCTGCAGCTGAGTGTTCTCTTAAGTCAGAACCCACCGAGTGGAAGTGTCCATCGGGACGAATAGAAAAGGGCAGGGATTCCACTTGCCTGGGAGGTTTTCAGCTGGAAACCCTCATCCCTCAGGTTCTCAGTGAGAGGGGGAGAGAGGTGAGCTGTGATGAGTTGCAATTCTTTTATAGAAATTATATTTGTATATGATTTCTATAAGAGAATTGGTAGGAGGCAAGACAGAGGATGGCAGAGCTGGTGCTGTGGCTTTCTGGCCTGCCTTGGCACCTTGCAGGAAGTAAAATCGAGTGACTAAACTTGCCCGCACCCCCTTACCTTGAGTCCAGTGGACTTGCAGTTGGTAGAGGCTCTTTACGAGGTGAGGTGAGGTGAGGTGAGGTGAGGTGAGGTGAGGCGAGGCGAGGCGAGGCGAAGCGAGGCGACGCCACGGTGAACATCTTTCCCCATCACATCAGCATAGAGAAGAGAGAGGACCGGAGGCGGGCTAGTGTCTGTCCCCCTCCCTGCTTTGTCTGAAATACAGGATGGGGATGTGAGCATTGGTGAGATGGTACCCGCTTTCCTTAGACAGTTCACCCCAGCCTCACTGAAGTAGGAAGATCAAGGTGTCTAGCCCGAGGAAAATTCTAGCAACAGCGGGCCTTGATCTCCAAAAGGAAGCGATGGCCAGCATAACCCTCATTCTACCTTTAGTTTTTGCTGCTTCCATAGCAGTGGTTCTCAACCTTCCTAATGCCGCGGCCCTTTAACACCGTTCCTCATGTTGTGGTGACCCCCAACCCTAATATTATTTTCGCTGCTACTTCATAACTGTCATTTTGCTACTGTTATGAATCGTAATGTGAATATCTGTGTTTTCCGATGGTCTGAGGCGACCCTGCTAGCGGTTCTCAACCTGTGGCTCAAACGTTATTCCCAGGATTCAGTCACAGGGATTGAGCTTCAAGGTCACTCACCTAATGTTTAGGGGAAGCAGTGGTCATTGAAAGGGGAGATTTTACATAATGTAAATGTGTTTTCCGATGGTCTTGGGCTCTACAGCAGTGGTTCTCAACCTGTGCGTCTCTAGCAGGGTCACCTAAGACCATCAGAAAACACAGATATTTACATTACGATTCATAACAGTAGCAAAATTACAGTTATGAAATAGCGGCAAAAATAATTTTATGGGCCGAAACTGGTTTGGCTCAGTGGACAGAGCATGGGCCTGCGGACTGAAAGGTCCCAGGTTCGATTCCAGTCAAGGGCATGTACCTTGGTTGCGGGCATATCCCCGGTGGGGGGTGTGCAGGAGGCAGCTGGTCAATGTTTCTCTCTCATTGATGTTTCTAGCTCTCTGTCCCTCTTTCTCTCCCTTCCTCTCTGTAAAAAATCAATAAAATATTTAAAAAATAATAATGTTATGGTTGGGGGTCACCACAACATGAGGAACTGTATTAAAGGGCCACGGCATTAGAAAGGTTGAGACCACTGTTCTAGAGCCTCAGACTGTTGTAAGGTTCAGATGATCTTTGGGGGAACACCTGGCATCTAGCTGATACGCAACATCTTTTTCAAATGACTCTGAACTTTAGTCCCACAAAGGGGTGACCTCGTGCTTTTCCTATGGCGGCAGCTTTTTACTGGGCTGTCTCCCGGGAAGAATGCTCTCCTGTCAGGTGCCCCTCAAATAGAAAATGGGCTCCACAGCTCTGGCCCCTGCCCAGCTCACTGCCCGGCTGTTTTCCTTGCTGACGTGCCTTCAGTGCAGGACCGTGGGATATCCCGCCTGGAAGGGAATTCTGAGTGGGCACCAAACTCAGAAAAGTAAAATGACTTCTCCAAGGTCCGTGGTCGGCAAACTGCGGCTCTAGAGCCTACATGCGGCTCTTCGGCCCCATGAGTGTGACTCTTCCACAAAATGCCATGGCCTGGGCGAGTCTGTGTTGAAGAAGTGGCGTTAGAAGAAGTTTAAGTTTAAAACATGTGGCTCTCCAAAGAAATGTCAATCGTTGTAGTGTTGGTATTTGGCTCTGTGGACTGATGAGTTTGCCGACCACTGTCCAAGGTGATGGGAATTTTAGTGTCAGTGGAGGGACCAGAACTCGGGGGGCAGTGTTTACCGTGCTCTGTTCTTTCCTGCCTGGTAACACGTGGTGCCAGGAGACCTTACCAATATCTGACCCAGGCGCCGAGCCTGGAGGAGAAATAGTTGTTGTCATCAAGTGGATGAGGAACTTTCTGGTTGGTACATGGTTGGTACATGATGTTACGGCTGCAATTTTTTCTGACTTCATTCCAGTTGAGGGAAGTTAGGAAACTGTTTTTCCTTTAGTGAGTAGCGTGCAATGTGCTTCCTCTAAGCAGTGGGTTCTCAGCCTTTCTAATGCCTGATATAGTTCCTCATGCGGTGGTGAGCCCAACCATAAAATTATTTTATTTATTTTTTATTTTAAAAAATATATTTTATTGATTTTTTTTTTACAGAGAGGAAGAGAGAGGGATAGAGAAACATCGATCAGCTGCCTCTTGCACACCCCTTACTGGGGAGGTGCCCGCAACCAAGGTACATGCCCTTGACCGGAATTGAATCTAGGACCTTTCAGTGTGCAGGCTGACGCTCTATCCACTGAGCCAAACCAGTTTCGGCCATAAAATTATTTGAGTTAGTACTTCATAACTAATTTTGCTACTGTTAATGAATCGTAATGTAAATATCTGTGTTTTCCAATGGTCTTAGGCTCTACAGTGACCCACAGGTTGAACTGCTAGCAGGGTCGCCTAAGACCATCAGAAAACACAGATGTTTAATTTTGCTACTGTTAATGAATCATAATGTACACTTATGAAGTAGCAGCAAAAATAATGTTATGGTTGGGGGTCACCTCAACATGAGGAACTGTATTAAAGGGTCGCAGCATTAGGAAGGGTGAGAACCACTGATCTAAGAGGACTGCAATCAAAGCACCTACGTGTTCCTCATAGGGTGTTCACTTAACTACTTTTGTAGAAGGAAAAGGAACACATAGCCAACAGCATTTCACCTGGAATCAGCTCCGAGTCCCAGGCTGCTAGCACAGTTGTGTTTTCACTGTTGCATCATTGGGTGAACTGGAGTCCTGTAGTCTTGATCTAGGAGAAACACAGCAAGTTTTATAACCACAGCAGCACTCACTGTGAGTCCCACAGCAAGTCCAATAGAAACTAAAGAGTCTAGGTCAGTGGTTGGCAAACCGTGGCTCACAAGCCACATGCGGCTCTTTGGTCCCTTGAGTGTGGCTCTTCCACAAAATACCACGGCCTGGGTGAGTCTATTTTGAAGAAGTGGTGTTTAAAAAATCGTTGTCCTGTTGATATTTGGCTCTGTTGACTAATGAGCTTGCCGACCACTGGGCTAGGTGTAGGGTTTGTGCCAGTTGACTGCTGAGTTGGGTGATGTTATCCCCATGTTCCCTCCCGAGACTGGAGAGTAGGCATTATTCCCAGGGTTCAGTCACAGGGATTTTGCTTCGAGGTCACTCAGCTGATGTTTAGGGGAACCAGTGTCAAAGCAGCGCTTTGTAGCTCATCTTCTTACCACCACGCAGCCCAGTCGTGGTGTGATGGTTGATACCTACTATGTGCTAAAAAAGAAGACATTGAAAGGGGAGATACTGTTTTGAAATACTACTTCTATGACAGTGGTCGGCAAACTCATTAGTCCAAAGAGCCAAATATCAACAGTACAACGATGGAAATTTCTTTGGAGAGACAAATATTTTAAACTTAAACTTCTTCTAAGGCCACTTCTTCCAAATATAATAGACTCGCCCAGGTCGTGGTCCTTTGTGGAAGAGCCACACTCAAGGAGCCAAAGAGCCGCATGTGGCTCCTGAGACGCAGTTTGCCGACCACTGTTCTATGAGCAGTAAGCCTGATATGATGTTTCTTTTCTTGGTAGCTGTTAAGTTCAATCACGACTCTCCTTACTCTGTTGTCGTCTCCTGCTCCTCATCTAACTGGTATCCCTTCCGGGACACGTCCTTGGGGATTCCTTTTAGTCTAGACGTGTCATGAGGAATCCCTTAGGCAGTGCCCACAACTTGAGCCTTTAATGCATCTGGAACACATAAAGGGTGGCCTTTCCCAGTTGCTCCAGGTTCCGAGCCATTGCCGAAACTCCTCCATGGTCCAGTCACTGCCATGTGGGTGCAGAGGGCTCCACAGTGCAGATGCAGGTGACACACATGCCTGGACCCGCAAGTCTTTTCCTAGCGTTGCAACAGGGTTTTCCCATAAGCAGCCAAACATGGGACCTTCCTAGTTGACTTTTGTCCCTTTGACCTCGGTCTGAGTTGAAGACTGAAATTCTTATTTATCAATACCAGTTCCTGTCCAGAGCAATTCTACAGCATAATGAACTGTTTTTTGTTGTTGTTGTTGTTTTTTGTTTTGTTGTTTTTTGTTTTGTTTTTTTTCTATCTCACAGGCAGGAGAGACTTGAATAACTCTAGTTTTGACAAGTCACACAGTCTGGCCATTGGAATTAAAACTCCTTGATGAGGCGGGGCTATTGGGTAACTAGCTTAACATGGAAATGAACTGTGTTGTGGCTCTTGCATCAGTCAATGCCACCACCTGTGCCAGACCTGCTCTTCTCTTTAAATGCAGGAATGTAGCTTATTTATGCAACGATTGCTTTTCGCGCATCCTGGAGGTTGTCACAAATACATATACAGTGAACTAGTAAATTATACTTGGGTTTAGAACACATTTTAAGTTATTCTTCCTCTTCCATGGCAGTGACTGGACACAATGTGGCCTGGTCAAGGCCAGGGGAAAGTTATCCCCCTTGCCATCTCTCTGTGTCCTTGCCTGTCCTTGCCTTGACCTCTCGCCATTCATTCTCCCTCTCCCAGAGGAAGCTCACCAGTGCGGAAAGGGACTCCTGATCCACTGCCAAGCCGGGGTGTCCCGCTCGGCCACCATCGTCATCGCCTACTTGATGAAGCACACACGGATGACCATGACTGATGCTTATAAGTTCGTCAAGGGCAAACGACCAATCATCTCCCCAAACCTCAACTTCATGGGGCAGCTGCTGGAGTTTGAGGAAGACCTGAACAACGGGGTGACACCGCGAATCCTTACACCAAAGCTGATGGGCGTGGAGACGGTGGTGTGACCCGAGCCAGGACGGTCAGGGTCAGGGTCACTGTGTCACTGTTCTCTGTTCGGAGACAAAGAGAAAGGAGAACGGATTATTTCTTTGCTTTTTCTTCCTTTTTTTTTTTTTTTTTTTTAGCTGGGGGTAAGGTTTGTGAAAGGAAACAAACTCATTTAAAATCTTTATTTTTAACAAGTGTGAGAAGAATTTAACGTTTGACGCCCGTTGAACTGATAAAGCAAGGAGGCTAAGGAATTTTTTTTTTTTCAAGCCAACAATAAACACATAAAACTATTTCTCCCCCTTTTCCTTTGAAGCTATTTGTAGAGTTTATGATTATATAGTCTGTGCAGGTTCATAGACCGAATATACTCCACTTTGTTTACCAATTTAAAAAGAGAACCGAAAAGGAAATTAGAAAAGACATTGGATTATGAAGACCTGGATCTGCCGGGCCGTTCATCTGGAAAACAGACCCACCCCACCAAACCCTGACCGAGGGCAATCAGGTCAGCGATCTAAGGACCCTTCACGTTCTGGAAAGAGACGAAGATACTGTTGATTTTGTGTGTTTCATACTCTGAATTATTATATTTTCCCCCTTTCTGGGGTTAAGAGATTTTTTTTTTCTTTTTTGAACTAGCAAGGAACTGACCATTCTACCATATGCCTTCACTGTGCAATAAATACTAGGGTGTTTGGAGTGTGCAAGCAAGTTAGAGCGGGCAGCCAAATGCTAGGCAAATAGTGCACATTTGCCAGCATAGAGATTAAAGAGAATTAAATGAAACCGATTACTTTTCCTTCCCCACCTTTTTCCTTTAATTTTTTTTTTCTTTTTTGCATTTGATTCTGGTTACAGTGCCATAAACCTTGTTACATATGTATATCAGAATGTTAAAAAGACAAAAATTTATTTAAAAATATTTTTCGCAAAAAACAAAAACAAAAAACAACTGGGTGTGTTTCTGTTGATTTGTGTAAAGGTTTATTTTCATTATATAAATGAAACTCATCTTGGGACGTGTCTCGCTTCCTCCTCTTTTCCTCAATTCCAGATCAAGCATCTCTTACCTCTGGTAACGGGTCCACGTCACATTAAGTGGAAATAAACACACATTCTCATAGGGAAGAGAGATGAGGAGGTGAAATGGTCTCTGTTTTCAATGGGATGCGGGGGGGGGGGGGGGGAGGGAAGGGAATCAGCAAGGAAGCAGAATAGCTCCAGGGGGTCACCCCTATCCTCAGCTCCGCCACCTCCTCCTGCACTTGCAATGCCTCTCCATCTCCTCCTGCACATGCAATGCCTCTCCAGTAGCTCCAAGTAGCGTCACATTAAGGAATCGGGGTTTCTAACCAGCCTGTGAGCTTTGGTGACCAATTAGGTCACGGACAGGTTGGTTGGTTAGAATCCCAGGATCTCCCCAAAGGCTACTTGATAAATACTTGTGACAATCAGCCATTTAGGGTTCCTGATGGTTATCGCCACCCCTCCATCGCCACTTGCTCATTTGACATTTTTAGTGACGTTGACCGTGGTGTGTGCACCACAGCCGATTCCTATTTTCCACTCTTTCACCAGCAAACTGAGGTCGCTTCATCAGACACAGCTTCCTGCTCACTGTGGGCTTATGGCCCATGGATTCCCGACCCATAGACGAGGGGGTGGAGGGTGGGAACAGGGGAGGGACGAAATAAAATATTTTCTACGTTTTATGAAAATAGATATGTAGAGGGACTTGGCCATAGGGGATACTCACAACCAACCGACACTTGTCTAACTAGTTACCTCGTTGAAGGATTCTGGTGTGTCCAATTCCACATGACTACTTTTGATATACTTTTTTTGTGAGTGTTTGCTTACACATGTTACTATAATACAATATTTTTGACATTTAAAAAAAAATAGCTTTTCTACTACAATAACTTTACTTTTCCTCCTTTGAGAAAGTAGAGATGGACATTAACAGACATCAAGGGAGAGTTGTTTTGAATTATCTGCATCGAGTACAAAGCGGTAAGTGAAAAGTCAGTCTCTCACATAATGTTTTCTACTCTTCAGACTGAGGATTGGTGACAGAGCCTATATAAGGAGCGGGGTTGACCTATAATTAGTGATTTAAAATACGGGATGATTTACGAGGCATTTTTTATTGTTGATTCTAAGTCCAAAAGTGAAATTTCTGACAGAATGTAAGACTTATTCCCTGACTCCTTTTTTCTTTTAAAAACCAAAACAGCCCTAGCTTGTTTGGCTCAGTGGGTAGAGCGTCAGCCTGCGGACTGAAGGGTCCCAGGTTCGATTCTGGCCAAGGGCACATGCCTGAGTTCCGGGCTCAATCCAATCCCCAGTAAGGGGCATGCAGGCGGCAACCAATCAGTGATTCTCATCATTGCTGTTTCCATCTCTCTCTCCCTCTCCCTTCCTCTCTGAAGTCAATAAAAAATATTTTAAAAAAATAAAGAGAAAGAAATCACAGGTTTTCTTCTTTACTTATATGAACATGATGGATGTTTTTGAACTTCCTGATTTTGAGAGACAAGCACTCTGCTGGCCAGCATGCCAAGAATTCTGAGAGAGACCCCGAATTCAGGTCTTTTTTTTTTTTTTTTTTTTGCTAACCTGCTCTGAGTCACCTAGCCTCCATTTCTTCATGAGGAATGTTAACCAATTCATGACAATGATATGGATTAGCCAAGACACCGCTTTAGAAACCTGACTCCGCAGGCCCTGGGCCTCCCTCGGCGCCTGGGAACCTCAAGAAGCTGAGAAATCATGGAGTATTCTTTCCCCAAGAAAGCCAACCTGTGACCAATGCATGCATCATGCTCAGAGCCCAGCAGGGCTTGTCTCCTGCTGAATGAATAGCATGACTTAATCGAGGGGATTTATAATACATCTCACAAGGAAAGAGAAAAAGAGATACAGCAGGCACTGCTGTCTGAATCGCACACAACAGCAGCTCTAGGTTCTCTGTCTAAATTGATTTCAACAGTTAATATCTTTGCAGCGAACGCACACTAGCCAGGATGTTAAGTTTGCATTTCACAGGAGACCTTGAGCTAGCTACTTCGAGGTGAGGACAGGGAGGGTGACGCACGCGCCAGGCAATGGAAGGCGCCCAGCCCAGCAGTCACATCTTCTGTGGACGGAAAAATGAGGAGACACAACCTTCCGAAAGGGCAACCAAACACGGGAAGTGGGAATGAGAGCTGCTAGTAAAACAGAAGAGCGTATCAGAGTGAAGAACCAGGACCTGACTCACCCTTCAGAAGCTGACCAAGATAGGACACCCGTAAATTGCTCTCACTAGCTCTGGGAGGGAAGAAGTCTGGCGAGCTGGCCTGAAGAGCCATCAAGAACATGGCTGTCACCCTGTGTGTGAGCAGACTCTTGTAAATAAGCCACAGCACATTGCATTTGTGTTTTACTCCCCAAACGTGGAACGGGCCGACCTCAGGAAAGAGGCATGGATACTTGCTTTCAAGCGCTAATTGGAGACAGTTATGTATGGATGTGGGTGGGGTAGAGGGTTGAAGGAATACTAAGGATGGTGATAACACAGCGATCAGAAAAAGTTCCCACAATAGCTCTGTGGGCAGACATCCTGCCCTTATTCCAGGCTTTCTGGGGTTCCTGATTGGTCAGAAGCAGGAGCACTGAGAGAGGTAGAATGGGGTTTACTCCTGGGATTAGACAACTGGGCTCCAGAGGGGTCAACAGAAGCGTGTCGCCTCCGTATCTGATGGCTGAAGTCTCGGGGAGTCAGCAGGGCTGATGGGGAAGAGCTTGGCGTGAAGGGGAGGAGAGCAAGCTGATGGCGTTAGGAGGAAAAGCTAGGATTGGGGTTTGCCTTCCACCAGCCTCCACGATGTGGTGACTTTGGCGAAGGACCCCGTGCCCACTGCCGGGGACCTGCACACGGACCAGTCACAAAACGTGCAACATTAAGGGAGGAGCCAAAACCGGTGTGGCTCAGTGGATAGAGCGTCAGCCTGGGGACTGAAAGGTCCCGGGTTCGGTTCTTGTCAAGGGCATGTACCTTGGTTGCGGGTACGTGCCCAGGAGGGGGTTTGCAAGAGGCAGCTGATTCTCATCGATGTTTCTAACTCTCTGTCCCTTTCTCTTCCTCTCTGTAAAAAAATCAATAAAATATATTTTTTTAAAAATTGAGGGAGGAACTCTAAGAACTGCACCCACAGCTACTGCCACCCCAAGTCAAGGTCAGTGAACAGGGGCGCCAGCCACCCGAGTGCCTGCGGCCAGGTCAGAGTGCAACGGTCGCTGCCTCACGCAGGCCTCCCATACCTTGTGCAAATCTCTCGGGGGCCAACCTCAGCCCAGTTAGAGACAGGAGGGGGCGTGTGCACAATGCGGTTCCTGATTTAGCCAGGTCTGTGCTGGCCACAGCTCCACCATCCATCCTTGCCAACTTGGCATCCAGCTGCACTCCTGCGGGCCACGCGTACCTTCCAGACAGACATTAGAGAATGAGGTTTTCACCTAATAAGATGCAACTATCACTCCTGTAGCTGCAAACACTCCCCATAGTCCCTCCCGGAGAAGGGATGGAGCCCTGCGTGTTACTCTAATCCACTCTTGGACGGTATTCATTTCCCTTGGGGTTGAGATCCACTCTCCTTCTAGCATCCTGCAACCGAAGGTCAGGAAACATAAGGATATTTTAGGTTGGACTGCGCTTGCCAGAAGGGGTGCTTTTGCAATGGTGCCCCCCAGACCTGGGCAATGTGATCTTACCTGGAAACGGGATTTTTGCAGATGGAGTGGAGTTATAAGGAAGTTCGTATTTGGAGTATGAGCCCTTATCTAGGTACCCGTGCCCTTAAAGGGGAAGAAATTGGACCACACACCAAGGAAGGAAGGCCATCTGATGAGGGGGGCAGAGATCGGGGTGGCACAGGACAAGCCAAGGACAGCAAAGGTTGCTGGGTACCGCCAGGCACGAGACAGGTTCTCTCTCAGAGCCTCCAGAAGCAAGGCTACCTCTGGGTCTTGG